CTGTTTTATCTTTTTTTAATTTCTCTGGCATGATTAGCCATGTAACTCTTTCTAAAGAAAATACTTATGTTCCGAGGCAGCTAGGAAGAATGGCCTGAGGACTTGCATCATATATATGAAGGCTTGAAGAAATAACACCAAAGGATGGGATCGGTGGTGGTGACTTTAAACAGGAAAGGAAGGTAGGCTGAATCCACGTAGCCTCCTACAGAAAAGAAAAAAAAGAGTCAAAGTAGGAGCTGATAAATATCCTGGGACGTAACAATGGAAAGGCCCCTGGGGCTTCCCTGTGCCCACGCACAGCCTCTGAATCCATATTCATCTTCTTACTGTTTTCCTAGCACAACATAATCCTGCCTTGGACTCATACTGAAAACACCATCACCACCTCTCTCCCAACCAGATCCTTGAGATTCAGACACAGCTCCCCACTCCCTTTTTGAGAAGTTATTCCTTAAAAACTTTAGTCTACTCAGGACCCTTTCTTCTCTGGCCTCCTTGTCTCAAGAGAAAAAATTGTGTAGGAGCTCATTGTTCTCTATTCATTTTTGTTTGTTTGTCCTTTACTATTACTTGTTTTATTTTTACACTAAAGGCCCGGTGCATGAAATTCGTGCACTGGGGGGGGGGGGGGGGGAGAGTCTCTCAGCCCAGCCTGTGCCCTCTTGCAGTCGGGGAGCCCTTGCTCCTTACCACCCGCCTGCTCGCTGCTCCTTACCACTCACTCGCTGTTCCTTAGCGCTGCCACAGAGGCGGGAGAGGCTCCCGCCACCAACGCTGCACTTGCAGCCGTGAGCCTGGCTTCTGGCTGAGCAGCGCTCCCCCTGTGGGAGAGCACTGACCACCAGGGGGCAGCTCCTGTGTTGAGCGTCTGCCTCCTGGTGGTCAGTGCACATCATAGCAACCAGCCGTTCTGGTCATTCCACCATAATGGTCGCTTAGGCTTTTATTTTATAGATTTTCTTTTACTAAATATTTGGTTTTTATATCAATAAAGGTCATAACCACTCTGCTGACATATAATACTGTTACTATACAACAGTTAAACTTGTGAGTCTACAACAGAAGTTGTTGGTAGTTCAACAGGAAACACAGTTGAAAAGTCCATGTTAAAACAAAACTACTGGGACTAATGGGACTAACAGGTCAGAATTGGAAGTAGCAATAAACATATTCCCTCAACTCTTGAGTATTTCAAGTTTTACAGTACACATAAAAAAATTATTTCTTCCAGCTCTAGCCTGTTTTGCTCAATGTTTAGAGTGTCAGCCCTTGGACTAAAGAGTCTCAGGTTCGATTCCAGTCAAGGGCCTGTACCTCCGTTGCAAGATCGATCTAGGCCCCATTTGGGGTGCGTGGGGGAGGCAACCAATCTATGTGTCTCTCTTACATTGATGTTTCTCTCTCTGTGTCTCTCCCCCTTCCTTCCACTTTATCTAAAAATCAATGGAAAAAATATCCTTGGGTGAGGATTAACAACAAAACAATTTCTTCCATCAACACTAGAAATTCAAATTGTTGGATGTTTATGCATTTTTCAAGTTACACTGATTCAGATGCTTATATGGAAGCAGGGGTTGGAACGTCTCCCAATTTGAAGTTTACTTTTGCTTTTGTCTTAAGCTAAGAATCCTATATAGTGTTGAACACAAAATAGATATCCATACATTTTTTGATTAATTGAATAGCTTCACACTCTGAGGGAAGAAACAGGAAGTAAAAACTAAAAGGAGAAGATGCAAGAAAGATGGGATCTAGCATGTAGGCAAAGGAAGCAGAGATTGGAAGAGGGGATGGGGGGAAAAACAATAAATCAGCTTTCAGTGTAAAGACTCACAGTTTAGGACACGTTGTCAATCAGCTAAAATGAAACTTGACAGGAAATGGGCAGAAATGAAAATGACCACAGGCCTACTTATGCTCGTATGCTAAATCTTTTCACTGCCTTGCCCTATTTGCGGCTACCTCACAGGCTCAAAGTTAGCCAGGGTATGCTTTGTTCCTCATGCATATATTGAGTTATCAATAGACTGGTTTATACACAGCTGTGGAGATCAAGCCAGATGGGCCTTCCTCTATCACCTCTTTCTTTTTAAATGAATCAAAATTTACTATGGGGTATAAGTAAGTGGGAAACGATGAAATCTCAGTATCTTTTGTACAGTCCTATCAGAAGCAGCTTCTGCCATTCTTCTCTAGAAACCAACTTATTTTTAAAACACTCACTGGAGGTCTGCCATTTTATGAGGCAAATAGCTCTGTCTTATTCCCAGCACCTAGCATAATACCTGGTACATACCATGTGTTTAATATATTTTTGGATATTGACTGGTTGAACGAATGAATGAGTCATGGTTCCAACCTTTGATCTACCCTCAGTTGACCTTAAGTCAAAGACACAGACATATGGGAAATATAGGACAGATGAAAAGAGAACATTGTTAAGGGAGTAGAGTACCAGAAGTTCTCTGTTCTGTTTATCTCCATCCAAATTTATAGAAAATTATTTCAATATGATGGGAAGTGTAGACACTCAAATACAAACATGAAGACCCAGATCCTGGCTCCAATGTGTGCTTTCCCATGATCACATCTTAGCTTCTATCACACTGGACTGTAAGTATCTGTCTTGCCTCTAGACGGTGAGCTCTGTGAGGACATTTTCCACCACATAGTAAGCACTCAATAATAGTAAATCACCTAATGGAGATTGTAGCCTCCTGGAGGGAAAGACATAGTCAGCTGTATAAAGTCAGGATCCTTAGTTGTGGGAAAGAAAGGCTGACTCTTGCTGATGTAGTAGAAAAGGAGTGTGTTGAAGATACTGGGTAGCTCTTAGAATTGTTGGAGGGTGTAGAGAATCATGACTAAAGCTAAGCTTCCAAGAATACAAACCACTGCAAAACGAGTCCAGTGGGGAAACGGTCTCCATTGCAGCTCCCTACCCATGCTGCTTCGGCATCGGCAACCCAGTCTTGCAACCACAGAGAAACTGCCGGTGCTGCTGCCAACGCCGGCCAACTCTGCTGTTACCCATTTTAGGAAACTGGAAGTGCCACACCGAGCCTGTTCCCTCTGGTTGCTCACACCTGCATTTAAGTTTCACATGAGGGAGCCTGACTGGCAGAGCCTCAGTCACATTGTTTAGCCAAATTGCTGGGGATCTGAGTTCTAAATAAAGGAAAGCTATTCAAAAGATGATGGGGATCCATAGATAGGACAGATGTCCACTGTCCCATAGCAATATGTGATAGGAGCTCAACACGAGTTATGCATTCAGGCATAGGTTTTTGTGCTCGTAGAACTTATATCCTTGTAGGAGAGACAAACAACAAATATAAATGAGCATAGTGATGGACAGCACTAGTTGCTACAAAGACAAATAAAACTCTTAGGGTATTCAAGGAAAGCTTTTCTGAGATGAGCAGAGACCTGAATGATGCAAGGGAGCAGCAAGCACAAAGGCTCTGGGATGGAAACTGATCAGCAGCCAAGGACCATGTCAGGTTGGCCCGTGCAGGCCATGAAGACCCAGACCCTGGCTTTGGACTTGGAAAGGTGGCAGGGGAATGGCCTGATCTGACATGTGTAGAAGGATCGCACTGGCTGCCGTGTGAAGAACAGATTAGAAGGGAAGCGGGTGGAAGCAGGGAGACCAAACTGACCAAAGTATGAGCAGAGAGATTAGAGCACAAAAATCTGCCCAGGTATCCTGGCTGGTGTGGCTCAGTGGTGGAGCATCGACCTATGAATCAGGAGATCACAGTTGGATTCTCAGTCAGGGCATATGCCCAGGTTGTGGGCTCGACCGGTGGGGGGCATGCAGGAGGCAGCTGATTAGTGATTCTCTCTTGTCATTGATGTATCTGTCTCTCTCTCCCTCTCCCTTCTTCTCTGAAATCAATTTTATATATATCTTTCTTTTTTTTCTTTTTTAATCCGCCCAGGTGGTTGGGGAGAAGATAATATAAGGAGTCTTGGGAGATGAGTGAAAATTGCCCAGGAGAAGAGGTCAGAAGGCCTCTGGGACAAAGGGAAGAACAGGAGTGAAGACACAGGAGCATGGAAAGCCCTGGCATATTTGCAGAACTTTCAGTAGCCTGGTGAGGTTACAGAGAGGGATCCAGACACGAGGCTGGAAAAGTGGGGGACAGCTAGACTGCCGAGGGCTTCCATGCCGCTTTTTTAACCTTTCATGTCACCAAAGTGTTGATGCAGTGATGGGGGCAGAGCCTGAGACAAAACTCCGGCTAGATTTTCCCCAGGGAGCCCAGACCTCTCGCAGGAGTTCCTAAGAGGGCAGAAAGGACACAGTGCCTTGCCCTTTTCACCTCTCCTCAGACTAGACAAAACATGGCCAACCCGCAGGTTTATGTGATTACCAAAGTGAAGCTGGGCACACACACCCACTCCTCTCTGAGGCACAGAAATCAGACAGCAGAGAAGGTCTGAGAGCTTCTCCATCGCGGTCAGTCCCAGGAGAAATTGTCAAGCAGACATCTCGTCCTCCATACTTTCTCATTTTCACTTCTGGCGGGCATCTCATATTCCACTCCAGATCCCAGAGAGGTGTACACTGAGCCTTACAGGGAGTGTTAGGTGTGGGTTGGTGAAGAGCATGGAAGAGGAGGAGGGCTTTTCAGAAAGAAAGAACAATGTGTGCCAATGCCAGGAAGCACCGTTGTCCATGGGCAGTCAAACCAAGGCTGGACAGATCGTTGGAGCCTGGGTTGGGAAATGCTTGGACAATGTGGTAAGCAGTCACCAGGAAAATTTATTAGTAAACCAGATGCCCCAATTAAATGGGTGACCGAAAGTTAAATGTGCAGTCCTTGCTTTTTGCCCAGGGTGGATGCCAGGGAGTATTTATTAGGTTTGGCTGAATCAACAGGTGGAAGTTTATAAATTTAGGATCAATTGCCCAAGTTAATCTCCATGCCAGGTCATCTCCACATTGATAGACTTACCTCAGAACAGAAAGTACTATCTTTCGTAACACATTTTTGGGAATTGCAATGCATTGTGCCTTTATTTCATAAACTCTGGGTCAGATACCAAAGATCAGCAACATTTAGAGCTTCGCAGGTGAGGGGTTCTCCTTGATTTTAATTTCCCTGTGGCCTTCTGTCTTCCATCTCAGCTGAGTCCCAAACCAGGACTCAATCTTTGTCTCGCTCCTGTATCAGCCACGGTTGCTACAGGTCCAGTCACAATTCTGAGCGGAAACAAGATGCAAATTTTAGAAGCATTGCAAGTCAAAATAGGTGAGTAGAAATGGCACCAAGGGTTTAACCAAGAACTATTCAAAGCATGTTATTCCATCTGAACTGGTTCAGCTGACACCAAGGCAAGAAGACTAGGTTAGATTTGTCCAACCTCAGCCTTGGTGGCCATACAGACCTGCGAAACGCTACCAACTGTTCTGTTCCCCTCATCCCTGCCCACCCCACTGATCTCTTTTTGCACAAAATGTATCTTTATTGCAAGGATACAGCAAATGCAGGGAACCTGTGGAAGAGGATGGGGTACAATTTGGGGTATCGAGATCATGTGTTTTACATATGAACTTAAGCAATGAATTTGTCCATCACCATCCCCCCTTCCCCGCCCAACTTAGGCTGGCTCCAGAAAGAAAAGCGCTGATGGCCAGGACCTCGCAGAGGGCATCCCATCCGCTCTGAGCCTCTCCCTTCACCTTCCTGCTTTGCTGCCCTCGCCTGCAACTCCCCACCCCCCACCCCCCGCCCACTCCCCCGTGCTTCACGCGAAAGCTGCTCTTCAAAGACATCCTTCCGGGCTCAGCGAAGCCCGGCGTGCTCTGCATCCGGAGGGGCCGCGGCGCTCGCTTTTATCGGGGAGAACAAAACTGCCATTTCCGAAAACAAAGGAAACTGCTCGAGCGTTTCGGGCTCACGGGTGCACATCAGAGGGGGCGGTCGGAAGGAGTCCGGGCGCCGAGCACCGCAAACCCCGCCCCCATGCCGGCCCCGCCCCCGCGGCCCCGCCCCGCCCCGCCCCGCCCCGTCCCAGCGCCCGGGCTCCCTACGCAGCGCGCGCTCCAGCCGGGCTCCCGCGCCCTATTTGGTCTTGGGGGGGCAGGTGGCGGGAGGGAGGCGTGCGTGGCGGAAGAGGACGCGGGCGGGCTCGGGGGCAGAGGACCGTTCTCGCTAGCGCCGCCGCCACCTCTGCGGGGGACCCTCGAGGCCGTCGCGTCCCGCCCGGAGAACAATGGGGCTCGGCGCGCGCGGTGGCTGGGCCGTGTTCATCGTGGGGACGCTGCTGGTGCTCGCGCTGCTCAAGGTGGTCGTGGACAGCGAAGACCCGGCGGGTGAGTCGTGGCGGGGGCGCCGGCCCGCGTCTCGGGGCGGGGAGGGGGGGCGGGGAGGGGGAAAGGCGCGCTTGCCTGCGGGAGTTTCCAAGTTGGGATCAGCTTGTAAGGAAAGTTCTGCGCGTCTGATGCCGAGCGCACCGGGCCAGCCTGGAGGTGCCTGGCGAGGTCTCGGGGAAACTGAGGCTCCGGCCGGCTCCCACGTGCCCCGGGGCCGCCCGCTGGAGAAACTTCCCGGTCCTTCCCCCCAGGCTGTTCTGCAGGCGGCGGTGGCGCACCTGTGGGGGTGCGGGTAACCTGTGGAGCTACCCAAGGACGGGCCTTCAGCCAGGGGCTCGAGTTAGTTGTACCAGCCTCTCCCTGGAGTTGAGCTCCAGCCTTTCCCTTGATCTGAGGCTCCCTTTTGGAGGGGGGTGGGGGGCTGAAAATATGTCCACGGGTTCCTGCGGAAGCAGGTCTACGAGTTCGTTGGGGAACCTTTCAGGAGTCTCCCCGGCGTTTGACCGTCTAACTGTGTAGTAGCAAACAGACGAAGTATATTCCCAAGGTCTCACCTTTCAAGTTAAGACTTTGGGGCTCATTGGCTGGTGGGAGCTTTAGGGAAGCGCACCCGGCCCTCCCGGAGCAGGTGAGCCTTATGCCACCCTGGGAAGGGCGCCCCCTGCGCCTTGTGCGGCATTAACCGCCCGGGCGCGCATCAGCTGTGCGGCCGTGAGATCAGGGCTGACGATCGCCTGGTGCCCGCGACGCGGTCAGTAGGTCAGAACAAAGTAAGTTTTACTTCTCCCTTTTTGAGAAAAGGGGGTTTCCCTTCAGGACCTTAGCCCTTTGGGGACTTGAAAACGTCCTATTTGGATAAGGCCAGGAAACTGGGATTTGCTATGTGTATTACATTTTATTTGTAAACTATTCTAGAAGTAGGGTAATGGTCAGTAAAGTAGGATAAGTTGCTTTAAGGGACTAAAGTGTTTCATGGATTTAAATTATATCCACCTGTTGTATATTTAGCCTTAGATCCAGATAAAGAGCACAGCACCTGCTTTTGCTAGAATAATCGGAGAGAGACAATAACTTTTGTTTGTTTTTGCTGAATTTTTTGTTTGTTTTGTTGAATTGTGCATGTGACAATCTGGCTTTGCAGATCATATTTTGAGATCATTTAACAAAAGGATCATGTTCATCCTGATACTAGACATTTTTCCTATTTACCTATGCTAATTGAGGTCCATACCACATCCCATCAAATCCTCACGGTATTATCCCCATTATATAAATGAACGGAGGCTTAGAAAATTACCTAACTTATTCTAAGTAAAACAGCTGATACATGTTTGATTTCAGAGGCCAGAATCCAAACTCAACCATTTTGCCTCATTGGGTGATGTTGGCTTTTCAAGTAGATAAATGCTTAAATCCACAATATGGCCATTGCCCAAAATATTGTGGGAGAAGATAAAAACATTATTGAAATTCCTCTTTTAAAATATCCTTCACAGTCTGTTGCATAGTTTCATAAATATCCTCAGTTGGAGGAGGTGGGGAGACTGTGAACAAGTTAGCCAGCAGGAGAGAATGTGGGAGCGCAATGAGAGACATAAGGGAGGGAGGGCAGGGGGGAGAGGCTATTACTTAGGGCCCTTGGTGGCAAGTGACAGAAACCCACCTTGAACAGCCTTAGGGCCAAGAAGGGACTTTATCAACTCTAACAGAAAAGTCCAAGGATTAAGGTGACTTCAGAAATGCTGTATTCAAGAGTTCAAATACGTTGCCAGGAGATGGCTCTTTCCAGTTCTTGATTACATCTATCAAATCTCAGGCAAACCGTAGTCAAACTGTCCTCAGACTGCTGGGGAGTGGGGCATCGGGGAGAACATGACACTTCAAATAACGGGGACTTTCTAAAGTGAGTCGCAGGTTTCAAAGGCCACCATAATGGGTACCCAGTTAGGAAATGAAATCCATACTGAGTCCATACCACATAATGAACTTAACTGCCACCCCCACACACACACCCCCACCCCCCACACACACACACACACCCCTCCAATTCGGTGTATTATAACTCAATTGAATACCTGTTCTTTCTGTCAAGTCTTCAGCCTTCTTGTACTTATGGTTATCCATGAATCTCTCAGGATATAAAAACAGTGCCTGCCCACGTAGATACTTCAGACATGTTTATTGAAAAAATGAGAAAAGTTAGTAAAGCTAGGAAGAGTCTGTCTTCTTTCTCAAGCAAAAAATTAAAAATGGGTTACCAGGAAATCATCCTTCCTAAGAGTGACAATAGCTGGGAGACAGAAACAGGAGATTCCTGCTGTGGTCCAGACAAAAGATGATGGCACCTGATAGTGGAGATGAGTGGGTGGGTTCTAGGTCTGTCTTTTCATGGGGTGCAACCGAAGTCACTTGCTATTGGATTGGATGGAAGTGGATGGTGGAATGAGAAAGAGGGAGGAATCAAATCGTGACCTCTTGGTTTGGGGTGGAACAACTGGTAATACATTAACTGGGAAGACAGGGAGAGCTGGTTTATAGTAGAAAAGCAACAGTTCCATTTTTGGCACTTGCATGCACAGGCTTTGGAATTAAACAGCCTGGTCTGAATCCAGACTCTGCCACTTACTAAGCTGAGTGGCCTTTTCTGGGCCTCAGTTCCTGTCACTGCAAAATAATATTCCTACCTCAGAATTGTTGGGAGGGTTGGATAAGCTAATGCAAGTCACATGCTCCCCAGGAGGCCTGCCATGTCCTAAGCTCTTCATAACATTGACATTTGTTTGATACCTACTGCTGAATACATCTTTATGGTCTACTGACCTTGATCTTTTTCAAGTTTAATCTTCACACCAGATTTTGTGTGTGTGTGGATTATAGTTCTATCAAGAGGAAGAAATTTGCACGTGCAATTAAGATAGATCCTTCAAACTTGTTATTGCCTACCTTTGGTTTTACTCTGAGGGTTTGTTTGTTTTGTGGGGGAAGGCTACCTTTGTGAAAAGTATACAATAGCACACTTATTCTCTTTCCAGGTGGTGTGTGTGTGTGTGTGTGTGTGTGTGTGTGTGTGTATAGTCTATACAAAGACTCAAGATGAATAAACCAACTGAAAAAAATGCTTAACTGGGGCATAGAGTTCTTCTAAACCTCTTCCAAATCTTTTAGGTGCCAGTTAAAAATTAAGAGTCATAAGCCCCTGGCAGTGGACAAGGAGACACCTGATTGGTGGTGTTGCTCTTATATTTGGTCAAGGGCAACGCAGACACGCAGTCCTTAGTTCATCCTAGCTTGATGCCTGTGTGTGTTGGTGGGCAGAGCTGTTTCATGCCTGGGCACCTAAAAAAATTAAGAATCATACTGAGAAGGCTTTCCATTAAATGTGAAGTTATCTTCTCTAAATTGTATGAAGTTAGGGGTATTGGTGGTACAAGCCCTTGAAGCACCCATGAATACAAAGGGACCTGATAGTCCACTCCACTCAGAAGAGCAGGGTTGTAGTGGCAGAAATCAGTTTCTCTCTCACCCGTCACTGTGTCCTCATGGGGGTGAATGAATTTTGGGAAAGCTATTATGTAATTATCCAGTGGCTGGCACATACTGTAGTAAGTACTATGTAAGTGTTTGTTCCATAAACTGTATGTTTTCTTCTTGAAAAACCAATAATGCAGTTACAGACTTACTGACAGCGTGTTTCATAGCAACAGTGGCAAAAGTAGGCCTTAGAACTTCTTGTGGAATGATCTACCCTCCCCACACCTCCACCACAATATATTGCCAGTGTCCTTAGTTAAATATTATATGTCCATTCATCACAAGCTTTTTATTTTTATAGGCTCTTCAAGCAGACAACCTTCCACATTTTCCCATACCTCTACTACGGAGCCAACAGGTACGTTTAGAACGGGATTTTTATCTGTCTAGAATACATAAAGAAATATCAGCAGGAAAGTCCGTGAAAGCGGGTATACTGACCTGTTTTAACCATCATTTATTCATGAATCCCTAAAGCAGGGGTCCTCAAACTACGGGCCCGCGGGCCACATGCAAATACAAATATTGTATTTGTTCCCGTTTTGTTTTTTTACTTCAAAATAAGATATGTGCAGTGTGCATAGGAATTTGTTCATAGTTTTTTTTAAAACTATAGTCCGGCCCTCCAACGGTCTGAGGGACAGTGAACTGGCCCCCTGTTTAAAAAGTTTGAGGACCCCTGCCCTAAAGCCTATCTCAAGGGCTGCCCTTAGTAGGCATCAATAAATGATAGAGTCCACTGGATGAATAATCTCTCTCAGTCTAGCAAAGATGTGAATATATTCTCAAACATGTTAGGATTTCATACTGTGTTTTAAAGCACACTTTTAGGTGTGAAGGTTTTGCACTCTGCCTATACATATGAAATATGAATATATAAGTCTGCTGGTCTTGCTGGGGAAACAAGTCTCTTTAAGCTGGTCAGCCAGGACAGCCTTAAGTTGCCGTGGCAGACTCTAAGGAGACCGTCCGACTTCAGTCCTCCCAACCCCCATCTTGCTTCCCTGTTGAAACACTTGTTGAGACATTTTCCCTGTGCTTTTAGTTTGGGACCAATGGATTTCTCCTTGGGATTCTGAGTTCACTAGCTGGGAAGATATAGGAACCAGGT